ATGTCGTGGAAAACGGCTGTACTTGATGCTGTAACACGAGATACCACCGAAAGTTACATAAATATTTTCTGAACTTTCAAAACTCCCGGAAATTGAGGCTCAACTTCTGTCGGTCAACTTCATTGTATACAGGAGATGACAGCGTTATGGTAATTCTTAGGCTCGTGAATCACATCAGATCGGCTAACCGAAAGCCGTTGAGTAAGCGAGCCATCACGCTCGGATGCCTTCTATTAAATTACAGCGCACCAGGTAGTCTGCGTGTGAAATGGACTGTGATCTTCGTAGACATATGCAATTAAAATAATATTCTTTCACCTTGCCATGTCCGAGGGCGATTATATCAACAAACGGTTGTCATTGAACTTTAGAACTTATTGGTCGATTGCAATAATTGAATGAGAAGTAAGGAGATATATTTGCATGCGATTCACAGTCCAGTGATGATGCCGTTCCTCGTGACGAGTTTGTGAATATTCGCGTTCAGCAGCCATGAAATGCACAATGCCCCACTTCCAATAGAAGATGCATTGGCGACGACCATAGGCAATAGGTCGAGGTAGAAATATATGGAAGTAGCATTGATAAATAAAAAGGAAAATAACTACCGGTTTATGGACTAAAGTAAACTGTGATTGTGAATCAAGCAATTAGCTTTTTGAATGAAGAATAAAACTGAAAAATAGTTTAAACTTCAATAAGACAACGAAATTATTCAAATCGAGCATTGGATAATAAAAAAGAGATCAAAATCATCAACCAAATAACAGACAAGAAAATTCCGATGTGGCAGTGATACTTTTCTCAGGATTGAAAGCAACGTTATGTGAGAGAATTCTTTCAAACAAAGCACATAAATGTTCACCATTAAAAGTTCTTGATATTACATCGTCTTAATTGACACACTGAGTGCTATCCAGTATTCATGAATTTGTCCGTTGTGGGCCGTTATTCAGTAACGTAACACTTGCTTTAATTATACTGAAAAAGTTGGCCGTGCAATTTTTTGGCTTCTTCGCGCCTTCAATTCAATTAATGATCACTGATGTAGATAAAAAATGTACCGAGTAATACTGATTGAAATATTTCCAGATAATGTGAAACTGCGAAAAGGCTATGAAACATGTGGCACTGCCATAACACCCAACTTCTTGCGCCAAGCTTGTAAAACGCTGCCATTCCTTGGAGCTCCTGGTTTGTCATCACGGCGAGAATGCACCTTGACGTGATGTGATGGCTTCTGCACCTCTCTGACCCAACGAGCTACACAGGATGGCTTTTGTCAAGCCAGGAGATCTTATCATGCCTGAAAGGTTGAAGGTTAGAGGCCGGATGAAGTCCAGTTTCATGGTCCTCCAGGTTGGGGATTTGACTAGAATTTACGTTTCAGTCGGAAAAATATAGTGGAGGAGTAATTGATCCAAGTAAATATGACCTCCACTTCGCCTTACCCACTGCCGTGCGGCCAGGTTCTTGTCAGAACTAAAGGCTTCTCCTGTTTAGTGGCTGAACACCCTGGCAGTACTCGTCCATCAAACCCCACTGCATATGCATTACGAGTTTGGCAGCGACCAGTGAAGTTCGCTTCACTGTATTTCGCTGTACGATGATGATGATGATGATGACACACCTCGTAAGCCAGAATTAAAAGAAACATCTTTCAACCTTAGACTAGCGAAAACCTTAGAAACACAACGTTGAAGAATACATTCTAGTACGAAAATAGAAAAGAACAAATTATTTTTGCATTCTGTTTACAGGAACACCGTAACCTCCACAAATTCTTGGAGTCATCCCCTCACCTTTTGGCCAGATAATAGTCATTGTCTTTAATCGAAAAATTTTCTGGGTTCAGAAGTTTTTGTCAATTATTTCATTTAGCTCTTTTCTAAGGGGCTCATGGAGTTCAAAATAATTATGGACATTAAAGAACCGGTTTTTATACCCGTCGGTGTCGCTTTGATATCATCTCTTTTCTTACAAACATTTGAAGATTACGTCACAGACAGAATTGGTGATAGTCAGACATGAATAGAACTAATAAATGCACATGATTCAGGCAAATTTAACCAATTATAGAAATATTGGAACCAATAGCCACAAACATCAGTGAAGTGTTTGTGATTCATTATCTTTAGGCATCAGGCCGTGACGCCGAGACTGCACCTTGACGTGCTGTGATGGCTTGCGTGACTTAATGACCCTGCGACGCTTTTCACGACCGCAAATCCAATCATGCCCGAAATATCAGTCATTAGAGGCCGGGAAGAACGTTTTAAAGCACGGTTAAGTTGTCCCCCGTTAGTAAAAAACCTCCTAATATATGTATCAGCTGGGAGAATGCTGCCAGTAGATATCAGTCCTCTATCTGAAATGGAGGCTATCTGGCAAATCGGTTTCTTCAAAAGGTATAAGGCCTCCGACCCGGATGGGCTGTCCCCATCGGTTTTTAACGATGGAAGGTCAATCTCGGTTCTGGAGGTAAATAAACTCTTTAGAACTGTGGGAGAGGGAACAGGTTCCAACATAATAGCGTGAATCAGTCATCACACCTATTTACAAGAAGAACGACATCCTCTTGTGAAAATCACAGGGGAGTTAGTTTAAACAAAATTGTCTCCGAGCTTCTCGCTGGTATTATACTCCGTCACTTGTCTGCTTCACGTGAACGGTGCACGCGCAAGAACCAGGCTGATTTTAGACTCAATCGAGGTTGTATAGGCCGCATTTCCATCCCTCGTCAAATTTTAGAACAGAGTCACTCCTTTCGTAGAACCACCAATTCTGTCTTTCTCGATGTGAAAGCGGCTTCCGACTCAGTCAACCGCTCCAAACTCTGGCGCTGCCTCTCTCTGAAGGGTTTGTGAGAAGTTTATTTCAATTTTACGATATCCCTATAGTAATAGCGGAAGCCGAGTCCGAGCTTACTGCACCTTGTCGCTCTAGTTCACCACGGGAAGTTTTGTTCGTCAGGGTTGCCGTCTCCGTTTCTGATTAATTTTGCCATCGATTTAATTCTTGAAGCAGCTCTATCCTCGTGTAAGGATAGCCGCATCGATTTGCTCTTAGCTGGCAAGTTATCCGATCTGCAGTATGCAGACAATATTGTGCTGTTAAGATCCAAGTAAGGTGCAAGCTTTTATGGATGGTTTGAGTGCCAGTTTAGACATGTTCGGTATGCGTTTTACACCGTCAAAGTGTAAAATGTTAATACAAGACTGGGTCGGTCCAGCACATAACCTCACGGTAACTGGAGAAATAAGAAAGCAAGTGGGTGAGTTTTGTTTTTTGGGCAGCTATATCTCACTCAGTGGACGCATCACAAATGAAGTGTCGGCGCGCATACAGAAGGCTCGGTTGGCATTTGCCAACTTGAGACACCTGTGGTGCCATCGCAACATTCGTCTGTCTGTGTAGTGTCGGGTGTATGTTGCAGCAGTTCAGCCAGTGCTGCCCTACTGCGAACAAACTTGGTTATTAAGAAAACTGGATAGAGGTAGACTGTTGGTGTTTAAACACCGCTGTGTACGCAGCATTGCACGCCTCTGGTGGGGCAGTCGGACGAGCAGTGCTGAAGTACGGTGCAGAGTCTTAGGTATTCGCGGTCGCCCACTGGAGCAAGTTGTGGACCTCCATAGACTGCGTTGGTTGCGGCGTGTGTGTTACACACGACACCAAATAGGTCGCTACTGCGTGCGGTGCTTGCTGAGGCAGGTAGTGGAATGAAGCCGAGAATGGTTAAACTAAGACCTAGCTTGAGGGTATGAAAACCCATGGTTGCGTTCAATGACTTCTGGGGCTAATCATTTGATGCGGATACAAAGTTTGCAGAACCAAACTAGTCATTATCTTGCATAGTCTACTCAAGTTCACAGACAGTCAGCATAATGACTTTCTGATGTGTCTCACTGTTTCCAAGGTGATTAATTCCCCCCATATTCTGTTGCAATTTATTCAGTGTGGAGTTCGATGTTGTGGCCAAAACGAAAAATTAGACGACTGTCTCTTGTTTGGATTCGTTTGCGGTGTGTGCTATCTACTGTTTCCCTGCCGGGAATCAAATCGCTTTTATTTTGCGGATGAGGTCTGGCACAGCCTGCAACCGGTTTGATGGAGACGCTGACAGACTTGAGATCGACTCAATATTCCTTCCGGTTTTTATCTGTTCTTCGACCTGATTCATCTTGTATTGTATTGTATGGTATTTGTAACTTGTGTAGGCATATATTCTTACATTTCAGTTAAAAATGTACACTGTTCGTCACGCAGAATGAAATAAAAATGATAAAAACAAAAGGTAAAGAATGTCAGTGTTATACGTTTCATGTACAAAGCATTTGACGTAGCTCATTTGATACCTGTTCCTTTTTGGTAAGTAGTCGGGCCAGGTAGAGTACAGGGGAATTTTTATAAATGTTAATGCTAGAGAGTAGCTGTCGAAATGAGGAGCGTGTAGACTGATGGGAACATCTTCGCTTTTACTTCTTCAAAAGTCCATAGTTTATGTCTATTTTCTACATTTATATTTGCATTAGGTGCGTAACAGTGGCCAGTGAACTTCTCCCTACTATTGTTCCTTACTGTTTCATAATTGGTTCGGCAGCGAGATCGTGAAGTCCTTCGGACTTACATGCTTTCTGTCACAAACACGGGTGTCCACTTCAGTGGGTGAAAGGCTGTCAGAAAGCAAACTCGACTTGACTTTATGAGTTTAGTGATGAGTCTGATAAAATTACTGTGTAGAGAAAAGTACACCGTGATTGAATCAGCCTTGACAAGTTTCGAGGTCGCGAATAAAAAGAACTGTTAATTGGGGGAGCTGTGTCTGAAAAGTAAAATCTCACTGAACCAAGGTGGTTTGTGAAGTAAGACGAATGAGTTTATTTCAAAGATTAAATTAGTTTAGACTGGGCTTTGATCAAAGATCGTTTTGCATAAGTATTCTGCGTCACATTTAGCTAAACATTTTACTTCTGTGCCTTTTTGCTTATTTTCAGGGTATGGGGCCGGGAGGAAGTGGGTATATTCCCGGTGATCCATCTGCAGGACGTAAGTGGTCCGGTCGCCAGTATTTTAACCTTATCATTAAACAGGTATGTATGGACCACCTGGAATGGGGCCTGGCCCACATGGAATGATGCCTCCAGGTATGCCAGGTGTAATGCCACCACCAATTGGTATAGTGCCAGAACCACCTGGAATGATGCCCGGGCATCCGGGAATGATGCCCGGGCATCCGGGAATGATGCCCGGGCAGCCGGGAATGATGCCCGGGCAGCCGGGAATGATGCCCGGCCAGCCGGGAATGATGCCCGGGCAGCCCGGCATGATGCCCCCATACGGCTCAGGAATACCACCACCTTACTAAACAGGTGAGTCAATTCTGATATATTGACTTGTTCCATTATCTCTGTCAACTGATACTGATTTAGTCTTTTTAAGTGAATGGCACTTAAATCGCGCGTAGTACTACCGAAAATCTCTTCGTCTTTTCAACAATGACTTCGGCTAAATGTGTTGATAGTGGTGTTATTGTTGTTGTTGTTGGTGGTGGTGTATACGTTCATGCCTATACTATCTTGCATTGCATGTTCTAAAACTCGGTTCATTTCTGTATTTATCATACGGAGAAGTTCACCATACAGTCGTGGGTGCAATCAAGTTCCTAGGGACAGCGATGAGCTCATACCTTTTTACATCTCACTAGCGGTTTATTCGTACTGACGCATTTGCTCAGCCTCTTCTGGGAGGAACCACTCGACTCGGTTAATTGGGAAATCCCATACTGTTTCTTATTTTTACTAATACGCTGTCAACAGTA